GTACATGAGTTCCTGAATTCTCCCAACAGCGCTGTGAGATTAGCACCACCAGTGTTCACCTAGCTGACATCTCCAGCTTCCTGCACCTGAGAGAACTCTTGTTCCCGTTTCCTCCTACCCTCCCCCACCCGGGTCTTCATCCAGGCTGCTAAATGGCCATTCACCCTCCAACTTGTCCTTGAGGCTTCTCTTTCCTCCACACCCCTACCCAATCCAGAAGCAAGTCCTCAGCCCTTTTCCCAGCAGAGATCCTGAATCTGAGCTCTTCATACCCCTCCATCTCCGCCTCTTCCAATGTAAGTCCAAGACACTCTCCTCTCTTTGGACAGCCCCTGCTCTACTTCCTGCAATGGCGATCCATCCTCCACATGCAACCTGAGGGCTTAAATTGTCCTGAAGACCTTATTTTTTAAAACTTCGTTATTTTTGAAAACTTCATTTCATTGGATGGACATCCTCTCCATTGCTTACCTAATCCCACATTATGAGGGCATTGCTTTATTTCCAGTTTTTCCTTCTGTAAAGACTGCTACACCACACATCTCTATGGCTAATGCTTTGACTGGATTACAGCTTCCCTAGGATGATTTTCTAAAAAGGAATTGTTTCAGATTAAGAAAAAAAGACAAGATTGCTGCTCCTGTGATGAGGGCTAGGTTTGGGTGAGGAAGGCATTTCCACACGATTGAGGGGTGACTGTACAGAGTCTGCGCACCTCATCATTAGCTGCAGCAACTGGCTGTGAGAGGTGGCCAGTGTCAGAGTGAGACTCTCAGCACACACTGATTACTTTAATTGCAAAGGTGAGAGGACTAACTTCCTGTGATGCTGGGTGGGGGTGGGAGAAGCACCTTTCTGGCACTGATCTCCCATGAGCACCTGCGCCTGGGGCCCATCTAGGTCCACGTGCTGAGCCAGGTTATTCAGAATCTTAGTGAACATTTTCTATCTTTTAAAAAGTTGACATCCTCTCACAGTTTTCCTGTTCCTTCCAAAGTAGGACAGATGGACGCAAATATTCCATTAATAAGCAAGCTTTTCTTTGTTTATTCACTCTTTGATTGCTGAACAGGTGCTTCCAAAACTTTACTGTCATGTGAACCATTTACATATGAATAATAGTCAGTGTGTCTATGCTTCTTTTTCTCTTTGGCTACCAGGAAGCTTAGACTGAAATTTATGATTTAAATATAGCAAAGGCCTTCTTCCATAGGCTATATTCCCCCCACCCTCGGTACCAGGGATTGAACTCCCATCCTTGAGCTTGCACAGCAGGCGGCAAAACCACTGAGCTAAATCCCTGGCCCTTGTAGGCTCTATTTTTGCAAAGTGTGTATCTCTTCCTTCCTCTTTTAATCCCTCTGGTCCTGATGCTTCACTGTTTACATATTTTTTTATCAGGTTTCCTATTGTTCTGCTCAGAGCCTTATAGAATGAGGAAGGGCATAATTATTACTAAAGTATTTCATGAAATGCTGAAGTAAACCTCTACTGGCATGAGCTTTTCTCCTCTCCAGGAATCACCAATTAGTACATTTGGTATAGCTTTCAAGACCTCACCAGATCAATCACTCAGAATAGCATTTGGGCCATGGGTACACTCCACCCAGAGCTTTCCAAGGAGAAGGGGGGAACATGGTTGAAACACCATGGAGGTACAAAAACTGAACTCTAAACTATACCTCCAATTATGGCCAGAAGGGCCAGGTCACACTGAGTGTGGGAGGAAGCTGTGAGTCTGAGGGTCACCTGTGGCATCTGCCTCATGATTTCCTTCCTTCACTCATCAGCCTCTGAGTTCTGCACAGTGGCCTCCTTGGACATGGACCAGGTGCCTCGGATGCTCTTAATGGTGGACAGGAGGACAAAGGGCAAAAAAAAAGAGCAGCAGGAAGGGGGCAGACTGACCCACCCTGCAGCTCCTCGCTTTGCTGAGCCTCTGGCCCAGACCCTCACCAACTGCAGTCTGCAGTGCATTTTGAGCCCCACAAGCCCCGTGTGGCCTGGCCCAGGAGTGACAAACCAGCATCATCACCATCTGCCTTGGGAACTGGGCAGTGAGTGGCCACTCACATCCTCTAGAAGGGACCCCTGGGCTCATATCCAGGGTATGTCCTAAAATGGACAGTTTCTTATTTTTAATTTTTTTCATTATAAAAGGTCACAGAAACATAATTTCATTTTTATTATGGCCTGTGAGAAATAAACCATAGTAAAAAGAGGGAAGGTGGGCTGTGGCAAAGTGCAGTGGGACATTGTTCTCCTCTGAAATGAAGGGCATGAACCTCTCCTCCAGCTTCCTGCTCCCAGTGCTCCAGTCCCACAGACTTAGCCTGGATTCTTCCCTCACTGCCTTCCCAGCTAACAGGCACCACGCCAGGCTAGGGGCTGCATCCCCAGACCAGAAATGTGGGGGTCCTCATAGGAACTCCAGGATAAGGAAGGGACTGCATGACTGATGGCTGGGGGGATGTCGTATCCTGCCCTCCTAGAAGATAAGGAAGGATCTTACTTATCTTTAGCATCCCATCAGAGTCGATGATACACTGTGGACATTTGGTAAATGTTTATTAAATGAACACATTTGTGGATGGATGGATGGATGGATGCATGCATGCGTGCATGTATGCATGCATGGATGCATGGATGCATGGATGCATGGCTGGATGGGTGGATGGGTGGATGGGTGGACGGATGGGTGGGTGGATGGGTGGATGGATGGACTTTTAAGGCTTCCAGTCAGCCCTAGGGTTCTGCTTCTCCATGGGCTTGACCGGGCTTTTCTAACCTCCCTGCCTTTTCCCATATCATATCCTCTGCAGGACACACCATGCCTCCCTTTACCCTCATCTTCCGGGTGAATCCTTACTCAGTTTTTGAAAAACAGCGCAATTTGCCTAATCCTTCTCTCTGATTGATTCATCTCTCTCTTCACTTTCACAACCTACATTACCCCCTCCTGTGGTCCTGTTTTATATCATGCTTCCCTCCTTAAGGGCAAAGGCCAGGCAGAGACTCCTTTTGTGCCCAATTCAGACACCCAGCTAAGTCTTTGCTTTGAGAATTAAATTGACTTTCAAGTTCAACCTGTTTTGACTTCTTTCAAGGATCCCTGGTGGTCTGTAATCAGAATCCTGTAAAACTGTTTTGGAGATTATCCACAGCAGGACAATAGTGACTAAGGCTTCACTTACACAGAGAAAATTAGAATTTTCACCCTCCCTGACTTGAAAGTTACATGAGATTCACTACGTATCTCCATTACATTAACATTAAAAGTTTATTCACCCAGTTTTATTTCCAAAGCAGAGAGGGACACTTTCTGGTTTAATTGCTGGACCTAGAGTTTAGAGTGGAAAGGGCAGCTGCCTCCAGAGCCCTGAACCACATTTGGGACAGCTTGGAAAATGTGGACGCCTATGACCTAAACTCACAAGGCTAATCACACTGACACTGGTGAGAGCAGAGCTGAGCCTTTCCCTACTGATGATCCCCAAATTTTGTCAGACTGTCACCATGAATGTCAAGTATCCTTGAGAGGGAACTGACTCATTTAAGCAATTTCTGGGACTCAGTCTAGGTGTTTGTTCTCCCATCCTAAAATAAAGAGTGTTTCCCAAAACAGCAGTGAATCCCAATCAGAATGTGAGCATTTCCATTCTGATATCTCCCCAGTTTTCTGGGTGGGACACACGAAGGCTCAACTGGGGAAATGACTGGAAGAGAATTTCCTCCTTGGGAAAGTTTCTTTGACCCCCTAAAAAGCAGGGCAGGTCTTCTGAATAAATGTTAACTCTACTTGCAATGTTGGAATAAAATCCCTTTCATCCTGTCCAGGGGTGAGACATGGCCTTGGGAGAATGGTGCCATATTTGGGGTGAGGATGGGACATAGAGGATTGTGCTCCCTCTGTCTCTTGGCATCTCCGTGGGCAGAATCCACAGAGCACCTTAGCAAGCATGGCTGGGTGTTTCCATTCTTTGGAGTCTCCCTGCCAGCTTGGTACCTGGTTCAAGGTCAATGCCTATGGGAACTTTTAAGAGTAGTTTTAGTAGGTTCTCTGTCCCTGTAAGAGCAGGATGGATGGATGGATGGATGCATGCATGCATGGATGGATGACTGGATGGATGGGAAGAGAACCCAGTGTGCCCTTAGTTCCTTCATACTGGGGGCGGGCTCTGGCTTTCATGCACATGGAAGAAAACAAAGGCACTTTTGTGCCTAAGTAGCCAGAACCCTACAGAACATGGCTTATTCCCATTCCCATCTTGTGGACTGCTCTGGGCCCAGCACTGGGAAGAGCCAAGGAAAAGGCCATTTTGAAAGGCCTGACTTTGATCATCCTTAAAGGAACTTCCTCAACTTTGTTAACATTCAGCACAGGAGAAAAGGAGTCTTGTGAAGTTTTGTTAAAATTCATGGATGGCCAAAGACGCTATCCTGTCCAATAACCTCATTTCATGTATGGGGAAACCATGAATGCCTGCTCAACTGCAGAGCCATGGTGACCCTTGAGGCAGAACTATATCTCACTGATTCTGATTCCTGGATGGTTTACCAGGTGTTTAGGAATCTTAGCCAAAGTAAGCTAGACCTGAGTCTAATACCTCCAGCTAGGGCCCTTTCTAAAAAAAAAAAAAAAAAACACGATTCAGTTGAAAAATCCTCTGAATCATTTTCAAAAATGCCAGTGCTGGGACCCAGTTCAGATGCTGACAACATTGGTTCTGGTGCTGCCAGGCACAGATTTTTTAAGCTCCGAGGATATTCTAGTGTGCAAATAGGGCTGGGAACTGAGAACTGTGTTCTAAATCTCACCACTTCGCTGCGGCAGAGAACTGCTGGTGTCTGGTGGTTTATTTCCCTTCCTCTTGGATATAGGCTCAGGGCTTTGGGTCAACAGGAAAATAGAGAAAGACCTCCAGCTCACCCCTGGAAATAAGCTGTCCACTCCCCACCTTTAAAAGACACAGAGAAGGACAAGGTTTGGAGATCAAGTTAAATGTCCAATTTATTTTTATAACTTGAAACCAGAACAAACTTGGCTTTGAACAAGCGTACAAATGAAATGGTAGACACATGCTGAACTCAACATTGTGACATTAAGGGAAAAAAGAGGCCCCAAATCTTGTACAGAGAATAAAAAGAACAATAAATATTTTACTAAGCCATATTGAAATGACCTCCTGTCATCTCAACATTTTATCCATAATTAAAAAAAAAGTGCCCATTTCTTAAACAGAGCACAAATACCAAGCAATAATAAATAGTTCCAAACTTGTAGTAAAAGACAAAACCTCCAAGTAAACAACAAAAGCTCATACAATAAGTAATAGAAAAGGTAATAAAAATATTTTGCCTTGCCAGTACAAATGCAAACAACTGAAATCAATGTAACTTTGCTTTGCAGGGCTGAGATACAAAGAGCACCAAATCACAGATTTGCCTGTGTTCAACAAAACTCCCGGCTGATGGATGAGCCGGGATGCAGGGCTGATTTCCTTACTTTTCACATTTTGCTTAGAGTAATTCAGTCTCCTCTCCCCTTGAGACTCTCCAATGGCAAGTGGCAGGTTCCAATGGGGGGCAACTTTGGGCAAAGTTGTGGCAGTGTGGAACCCAGGCTGAGGTTGGTGGGGTCACCCAGGCCAGAGCCCTCTCTCTGGGTCACCTGCTTTGGGGTGCATTATTTACTTATTTTTAATACAGAAGAGAAGCAAAATTCTCTTCTCTCTGCAGTCCACAGAGACACACAAGCCTTGTGCTTTAGGATGGCTTCGTCCTGGCATTCTGGTGATTGTGTGTGAGCTGGTGAGCACTGGCTACCAGTGAAGGCCGCAGGACACCACCGTGGGGACTCCGCAGCCGCTAACACGGCAGGGGCAGGGCCCGGGGCAGGGAAGGCAGCCCTGGTGCCCAGGCTGGGCAGGTGGGGAACTCAAACTTGCCCACTCCCCTGCCCCTCTCTTTTAACCTTGCAAAGGGGAGTGGAAAGGGGAAACAGCGCAAACAGAAAAGCTCCCAGGACGATTTCTGCATTTGGTAAAGAATTGCCTAGCAGGATGCTTGGTTATACTCCCATAACCTGAAGTAATGGTTTCTTACATTTCCTGAAATTAAAAAAATGGCTTCCTGATATAGGTATTTGTTAAAAATGTATTATTCCCTCCAAAAGACCACTACTTTTATTATCTTAAAGCTACTTGGCTTTACAAAAAAAAAAAAGAGGGGCAGGGTCGGGAGGGACAGAGAGAAAGAAAAGAAATTAAATAAAAATGAAATGAACAGTTACAAGACAGACAGAGGCTGGAGGCTGGAGGCTGGAGGGGAATGGAGGGGAATGGAGGGGAATGGAGGGGAATGGAGGGGAATGGAGGGGAATGGAGGGGAATGGAGGGGAATGCAGAGGAAGGAAAGAGGCGAAAAGGCACCGAATTCATTCATCCCAGGCCCTCGGCATTCGGAAATGGACGGGAATGTAGGTTTCGGAGAGAAAAGCAGCAAAGTAGGGAAGAAAAATAGGCCAACGTCTCCATGGAACGGAAGATCCTGGTTGAAAGGCTCCCTCCCCACACCCCGCCTGCACCAGCCGCCGGGGACCTGGACCTGGCCGGCTAGCGTTTGTTTCCTGTTTTCTCAAGGAAGACAGCAGCTTGGTTTACACTTCTCTGCCACGGAGGCCAGCAGAGGTGGTGCTGACCACCACAGAGGCGACAGCAGAGAAGGAAGGGGACCTCGAGCGTCTCTCCTGAACACCTGCCGCCTCACAGATGGCCTGTGAGAGGAAGGGAGGACACTGTGGAATGTGGCCGACATCTTAACACAAACTGATTTTTCCACTCAAGACAAATAAAGCGTTTCCCATCCAGTCTGCTGCGGCCACACCAAGGTGCCCTGGGACAAAGTTCGGCCTTGAGCTCGAAGCCCACCTCGAACCCTTCTTTGTGTAGGCCAATTCCAACAAAAAATATATGCAACTGAAACGATCTGCGAACCAAAGTACTGAACTACTTCCTTCTGTCTCTTTCACAAAGGTTGTCAAACAACCCCTTTTTTTCTCCTGTACAATAGGACTTAACATACAAATTTTTTTGCAATATTTTATCCTGCCAAATTAAAAAAATATATTATGGCAGCCTGTTTGTTTTTGTTTTTTTTTTCTTTTTATTTCCAAATTCACTAACAAAAAGGTACATTAAATCCCTTTAAAAGGACAAGCTTACAGTTAAAAAATTACAAGCTCCAGTAAAAATACAGCAAGTGCCTACATCATACGAACCAACCAATATATCCATTCCAGAGGGAGGTGGGGAGAGAAAAATAAGTACAGGTCAGAAATGTGATTTTTTTTTCTGCAAAGCAATAACAATATTAAGCACTTTTTTCTACATACTTTTTCTACATGGTGTAGCAATCCCCTTTTAATCCCCAAATACAAGTTTCTATACATCTTTTTTGAAATAAAAATTCAACACCCAAGGCAGAAAAAAATTTACTAAAACTCCGACTTTACAGTTACTGTGACAAGAACAAATTGATAGACCCACCATTTAAATTTTACTGCAACATTTTCAAGGAAAAAAAAGTTTTTTTTTTCTTTCTTGTTTTGTAAAATGCCCAGGCATTCTCAATTATTACAAATACTGGTCCACTTTTACAGTAATCAAGAAATTTTAATATATATAATATATACTAAAACCCCGTCACCAAAAGAAAACAATATACACGCAGCCATTGTGGCATTTTTGTAGAATCTATTAAGCAAACTTTGAAAAAAAAAAATGATCGCGCCAACACACATACACACAATTTTTTTTACCCTTGTATGTATCCAATACTGTAAACGTATTTTTAAGACAGAGTGCACTAAATTTAACTTTAGAAAAAATTAGCCATTGCTCCTGAATTGTTTTTTGTTTTGTTTTTTCATTCAACGATATCAACTTGTGTCACTTGAGTTTTAATTCAGCAGTAAATCACCTCCACTCCAATATCTAAGCAGCGCTGTCCCAAAAACAAAAGGAGCTGAAGATAATTCAGCTAATGGATGTCCACGGTTGTGCTGGGTTTAATTCTTCATTTGATTGGGTCTTATGGCATTTCATGTCCTCTATCTTCAACCAGGATTTTTTTAAATTAAAGTAAATGTGGCTTTGTTTGTTTCTAAAGAATGTACTTTTCTTGTTTTACTTTTTTTAAAAAGTCTTTTCATTTCAAAAAAAAAGTTTTGCATTTGTCTCAAGAGACTCAAATAGGAAGATCAGTTTTCAAGGCACTCACATCAAATTGAATGGCAGTAGAAAAACTGTCCAATAAATTATTATTTTATTTTGTTCTTTATAGTGCCAGTATTGTGAATGCCACGCTTAGCAACACTGACACTCAATCTCAGCTGTCCCTTAGGGTTTAACCCACCTCTGGGCCAAAGAGCAGATGTTGCAATTTCTTGTTTAGAAGCCATTTAATTTAAATGCAAACAAAAGCTTTAAAGTGCGGGTCAACAGAATTCAAATGTCTAATCCTAACAGTCCAACGTTTTGTACCTTTCAACCTAATCAGAGAAAAAAAAATTGGGAAATAGCGCTGGGCACCTCCGGATGGAACTCTTCCCCTGCTTCTCCAGGAAAAGGGAGCAGAAATTTGCAAGGTTTTCCCTGTCTCTACAAGGTCACCAGTGTGCATCGAGCAAGAGGACACTAACTTCCCAATTTACCATCAGGGCGTCTGCCTGCTTGAGAAATAAATGGTCATTTACCAGTTGTAGCAACATACACTTGGGAATTACAACATGGGGTGAGAAAAAGGGAGAAGTCGTCGTTAAATCAGAAGCCTGGAAGAACACCAGGGGACACTTCCTTTCTGTGTCACTGCAGGCCACCACCATCTACCCAATAAAAAGTACCCTCGACCCATTTAATGCAGCCAAATCTACAGCACAGGGCAGAGCTGGCATCGGGGGCATCAGCATGCCAAGAAGTGGCCGTGTCTGCTGGTAACGCACACCTGCGGGCCGTCTACTCAGCACAGCCTGGAAGCCGTGCCTGGCTTGTGCAGTTCCTCCCGCACCCGGCCCCCTGCAAGCTTCCCTTGTCACCACTCGACAGTTGAAACCAACACAGAAAAGGCCTCTATGACTTGTCGTCAGTGCTACATCTCCATTCCAGTTCTGAAACAAAGTGCTACGATTTTAAAGATTGTTATCCGCTGTACATCCACACCCCCCCTCAAAAAAATGCATGCCACATTTTATTTTAGGACCAAAAAACAAAAAAAAAAGGGAAAAAATTAGAAAGTAAACAACTTTAAAAGTCATGTAAGTGTTGGCTTCTTCACAAGAAATTACACATGCTTAGCTTAAATTTTAAAAAAGCAGCGCCCTCCCCCCCCAAAAATTATAATTTAAAAGATATGCTTCCCATCTACATTGCTTGCGAGTCATTGCCCAGACTACTGGGTTAAAAAAAAAAAAAAAATGAAGGGATGGATACCCAACAAAATCTTTTAAAGGAACTTTAACAGAAAGAATAATAATAAAAAGTACCTGCACATGCCAAAAAAAAAAATTACAAAACCCAATAAATACAGAAATTATTGCACAGTTAAAAGGCTCCACAATTTTTACTGCCTTAATCAACCCTCGGGTTTCCGTAGGACTTCGCAGACACAGGTTAGGTTGGGGTGCCGCCTCCCTGGGCCCCGGGGACACGCAGGGGCAGGGGCTCGGTGGCGATGGCGGTGGCGGTGACGGAGACAAGTCAGGCAGGCTTTCCCTGGGGTGGCCGCGGCGCGCCAGGCCCACGCACTTAGCTCCTCTCCGCCTGCTCGATTTTGACGTCGTTAGTTAGCAAGTGCTCGCCGTGCCACTTTTTCATGTGTTTCTCCAGGGTGCTGTAGACGCTGAAGGGCATCTGGCAGATGTCGCAGCGGTACACCTCCTTGCCGATCTGCCCGTGCGTCTTCATGTGGCGCGTGAGCTTGCTGCTCTGCGCGCACGCGTAGTTGCACAGCTCGCACTTGTAAGGCCGCTCGCCGGTGTGGCTCCGCCGGTGCACCGTCAGGTTGCTGCAGTTCTTGAACACCTTGCCGCAGTACTCGCATGTATCGCTGCGCCGGCCCTCCTTGGAGCTCGGCCGGCCAGGGCCCGGGCCGCCCAGGTGCGGGGTGCTGCCCCCGCTGGCCGTGCCGCTGCGCCCCGACAGCCCGCCGTCCAGCAGGTCCCCGGGCGGCGTGGAGAAGCGCAGGCTGCCGTTCTCGGACGAGTGCTCGGAGGACGTGGCGAAGGGCGACTGGCGCGCGTCCGTGAAGCCCAGGAAGGGGTCCTTCATGAAGTGCCGTGACGCCGCATAGCCCACGAGCCACTGCGAGTACACGTTCTCCGAGGGGATGAGCGCGGCGGGTGGCAGCTCCAGGTCCTTCTCCACCTTAATGCGCTTGCTGTTGTGCCCGGGGCTGGGCATGGGCGCGGGCTTGCGCGGAAACAGGCCCGGGAAGGGCTCGGTGCCCGGCGCGAAGCCGCCGCCACGCCCGTTCACCGCGCCAGTCGCGCCCGAGTCCCCACAGCCGCCCGCGTCGTCCTCGTCGCCCGCGTCCCCGCCGCCGGCTGCGCGTTTCAGGAAGGCGCCACGCTTCTGCTTGTCGGCCAGGAGGTCGCCGTACTGCGGGGGCAGCGCGCCCAGGCCCACGTTCTCCATGACCTTGCCCAGCACCAGCGCCTTCTCATCAGCCAGCGCCTTGGCCGCGCCGCCCACGCCCACGCCGCCCGCGCCCGCCACGCCGGCCACCACGCCGCCGCCATTCTCGCGATTGCGGCTCAGCTCCGAGTCCATGCTGAAGCTCGACTCGGGCCGGCTCTCGTTCTCCAGCAGCAGCTCCTCTTCCTCCTCCTCCTCCTCCTCGTCCTCCTCCTCGGGCTCATGGCCCAGCGACGGGTCGCTCTCGTGGTGGCGGAAGTCGCCGTCGGCCGCCTTGAGGCCCTCGCCGGCCAGCTCGCTGGTGCCGGGCTCGGGGGAGCTGGCGACTGACAGCCCGTCGTCGGAGCGGCCGGCCAGCGAGCCCGCCTTGTGCATGTGCGTCTTCATGTGGCGCTTGAGCTTGCTCGCCTGCGAGCACGCGTGGTCGCACAGCTGGCACTTGTAGGGCTTCTCCCCCGTGTGACTGCGACGGTGCACAATGAGATTGCTCTGGAACTTGAAGGTCTTGCCGCAGAACTCGCACGACTTGCTCTTGGTCGGCGGCTGCGGCGGGGGCGTGCCGCCGGGGGCCATGGGGGGCAGCGGCGGCGTGCTCAGGAACGGGGACTTGGGGCTGGGCTGAAACGGGTTCAGGAGCCGGTGCATAGGGTTGCCGCGGCCCGGCGACACGGGCGGCGGGGTGGCGCTGTTGCCCGCCAGCTCGCGGAGCCGCCGCGAGAAGTCCATGGCGGGCGAGTCGATGGCCAGGGGGTTCAGGCGCATGACTCGGTCGAAGGCACTGGGGTGCTGGGCCACGAGCCCCATCTCCTCGGCGCTGAGGCGGTGCGGGTCCAGGTGGTGTCGCGGCGGCGGGCTGAAGAGCGGCGGCGTGCCGGGCAGGCGGCCCTCGCCGAAGCCCGGGTGGTCTCGCAGGATGGGGCCCGTCATACGCAGCAGGTTGAAGGGGTTGCTGTCTCCGAGGAAATTCATGAGCGGGGACTGCGCCACGGCCTCGGGCCCGAGCGGCGGAGGGATGGTGAGGCGCGGCGTGAGCGAGCTGCTGGCCGGCCCAGGCTCCAGGTAGATGCGGAATCCGTGCGTGTTCTGCGCGTGCTGCAGCAGGAACCACGCGCTGTTGAAGGGCTGCTTGCATGTTGTGCAAATGTAGCTGGAAGGCTCATCTTTACCTGGGGAGACAGACACACGGACAGAAAGGCAGAGAGCGTGAGAAGGGGCAGGCGGGGCGCGGGCACGTGGGGCCGCAGACCTGCAGGCGCGGGGGCTGGGCACATGTGCGCAGGTGGCCTGGCGACAGGACCCGGGCCTTGCTTCCATTCTGCAGCCTGGCTTTGCTGCCGTAGAGGTGTCCTCTCCTTCCTATCTCAGGCCAGAGGGTCGGGCTGAGAAGGCCCGACCCTATTAACAGGAAGCAGAAAGAACAGACTGACATTTAGACCCCGGGAATTCGCAGTTGAGGTCGGGAGGGTTGCCTGGGCATTGTGGGGCCTCCACCTTCTAGAAGTCAGGAGCACCCCCTTCTCCAGTGCTGAAGACCCAGAATGTCTCCTGACATTCCCAGATGTCCCTGAGGCAGGGGGTCTCGTCCTCCCCGCTTGGGAACCAGTGTTTCAGACAATATTTGGTTCAAGGGAAACGCACATATTGTCTTGACAACTTTTTCCCCCTCTAAGAGAAATGAATGGTTCCTCTGGAACACTGGGGATTTCAGCTAGAGGAAAGCCTGTGTCATGTTCCACCACTGTGCAGAAAGCACCATCCAGCCAAACAGATATGAAGAACCAGAAACAAGGAATTTCACGCGTTGCAGAGACCCTCCGCTGTGCGACAGCTATCACACCCGGTGTCCTCTCACACACACCCAGCCGGAGTGGAATTCGGCCTCCATGCACCCCTGGTGCAGCTCAACAGGGACACTGGCCTAGTGGAGTATTTTGAAATCCTTTGTCAGAGTAGTAAGGAATGAAACACAGAATGTCAGCCGCCGACGCTGACTTGTTAAGAGTCTGGCTCTGGTGACATCGGCAGTTGTAGTGGACACTGGTGGCCCTGAGCCAAGCCATCACGGTCTTCGTCCGTCATTGGAGTAGTCACAAAATGGAGCCCGAGCCTTTCACCCGGAACCACCTCCGGGCGGCCCGCATTGACCTGCGGGTGAAGCCGGCCGCCCCGCCAGCCAGAGCCCTGCTAAGGCTTCGCACAAGAGACAGGTGCAGACAGGCCTTGTCATCTGTCAGCAGCCACACCAGCCCGGAAGGGAAGAACAGGCCCCGCAGGAAACGCCACAACTGCGAAGCCCCTTTTGTTTTCTCAGACTTCCCTGTACCTGGGAGAGTTTAATGCTGATATTAAAGGCAGCCACAGCAGACTCCCTGGTGAAGCCAAACGTGGGGAGATCAGGCTTTCGCTCTGCACCCACTAATTGTGGGGGATTGGGGCCGGGGCCTGCAAACCCCACAGTGTTGATAGCCACATTAACTGTCCTCTGGAAACCATCTATGCAAAAGCCACACAACTCGGAGACCAAGAGCCCTGAATTTCCTCTGAGGGCTTCGTCTCTAGTTTGCGTCTCTCTCAGCCAGGCTTCCCGGCTTCTGTGTGGTCAGAACCTCCCAGGACACTCCGTGTGCACTGTCACAGCAGCTGTCCAGAGGGCAGGGCGCCTCCCCCGGGACACCCGGCGCTGGAAGCCAAGGCCTATTGTTACAAGTCTGATACCACACAGGCGGACTCTGCTCCACCTTCATTTGGGGTTTGTGAGTTTGGTGGCAAGAAGACACCAGGTAGGACACAAGTAATGTGGGGGGATTCTGTCCCCCACACAAGAGCCCCTCATGGGACCCTCCAACCTGGAAAAAGGCAGGGAGGCCTTTGAGCCCTGACACCCCAGCTTCCCCTCTGCAAACCACCCCTAATAGAGAAGGGCCTGGCTTCTCAGTCACCATCTCCTGTCCCCAGCATGTTAGTTAATGAATGCCCTTGGGGACAGGACACCTTACCTCAGCTCACAGAAGAGCTGGCCAGAAGCCACCCTGAGACTCACCTTCATATCCTTTTTTTTTTTTTCTTAGCAAGACAAACTATATAAGTAATAAAAAAGATAAATACAAGTCCCTTTCAGACCCAGGAGCTAATAACACAAATGAAGTGCCATGCCCTGGGAGGTCATAGATCTTCACATTAAAGAGCATTTCTGTATCCTTCACCTGTGAGTCACTCTAATTAATCGATTAATGGCATACAGCACCCTGGTTCTGTGTGTCTTTAAGTTGGGCCCCCTCCTGTCCCCCCATCTTTACTTCCTTGGGCAGCTCCAGATCACTTCCTGTTTGTTTCTGATGCCCACATGTTTTCTAGAACGTTCTGTGGTGAGCAATATGGATACCAGAGGTAAAGGCAGAAGTCCCAGGCAGGCAGGGAAGAAGAGACTGTTCAGAGCCGAAATGGCCCATTACATTTTTCTTTCTTTCTTTTTTAAACTCAGAATGCAACTGCCAGGAAGCATGTCACTACAAGTTCTAAAGAGCTCTGATGTTTCCACTTCGTTTTGGTTTTGGTTTTTTTGGGGAAAAAAAAAGGACATTTTTAAAACTCTATCTTGAAGGTGCATAGGGAATGAGGTTACCTGTCCCATAACTCACCGTGAAGTGTCAAAGAGCTATGTGTACTCATCAGGTTAGATCTAGGAGCCATTTGTCATTCCAGGGAGAGCTCTCTCCTTGCCTGGACCCCAGAACCACTCTGGCCCAAAGAACATGATTCACTGCAGGCAGTGGCATCCCCAGGGTCTCCTAGCTACTGAGTTTTGCAACTCTCCCAGGCCTCAAAGGCCCTCCATCGACAACTGTCTATCCTGCCTCACCTTTCTTTTTTGTTGAATAAAGTGTTTATTACCACCATAGCTCGACTTTATGGTTATGTCTCGCCTAGAAGTAGCCCTGAGCATGGGGCTACTTCCCCTTAAGAACTGAACGAAGTCAGAAAGTCTTTGGCGAGCCACTTGGAACATTTTTATATTAGAAAACCCAATAATATTTTTAAAGCACAGCAAGTAGAACTGATTTTTAAATGCAGCAGAGAGAAGGCCCTTGGACAGCAGGCTGCTTCTGACTTAGGGCTGGCCTGCTCCCCTTCTGGGGCTGCGTGCTTCCTCACCATCACCCCATCCTTGAACTCGGAGCCACCTGCCCATGGGAGCTGGTGGCTGCCCTCCAGCATGGGGTGAGTGCTTCGCTGGCAAGAGACAGAATCTTCCTGCACCACAAGGCTGCTGTGGCCGCAGGGTCCCAGGTGCAGGCCTACATTACTGAGAAGCAGTAGAAATGCCAGGTGCATGCTGGGTGACTCAGAACCCGGAGCCGTGTCCTTCCTCCTTTACTTCCTTCCTTGCCCCTTCCTTTCTTGGGAGAAATATACCTGCCTCCAAAGAGGGCTGGGGGACCCGGAGAGCTCCTGTCCCTTTAAATCGCAGGACCCTGTGCAGACACTGCAGTGGAGTTAGTACGATTTGGTTTTTGTTATGCATCCTTGTACCTGGCTGTGGATGTTTCAGGATAACTCTGGCAGTAATAAAACCCTGGAGGAATTTTAATGCAGCCTGCTTTGTGTGTTAGAGGTTCCAGGAAACTAGAAACTTGCAAACATTTAGAAAACAAGATATTTTATTGTGACACTTGGGAACCGACAGGCAACTGGACCACTGCGATGAAATGCTCTCCCTCTGCTAGGAGGCTTTTTTTTAATGAGCATTTAAATAATTGTTCCTCCTTATTACATCAGCTACTCTAATAATACCAATAAAGGCACCAGGGATGTTCAATAAAAAGTACACCTTTAATTGAATTATTATCCGCCAAAAAGGCCATAACTGAGAGCACTGATCCTCCTAAGGCCAAGAAGGTGAGGGGTCTAGGCTTTGCGGGACCCTCTGCAGGCTGCAAAGCGTTTAGCAGCTGCTTTGGCATTTGCACCTGCATCCGCTCACTTCATCACTGCTCTCCGAGGGATGCTAGGTGGGGACCACACCCCTCTTGGTTCAAAAGGACCCTGAAGCTGAGCAAAGCCATGCTGCACAGCCAGGAAGTGGCAGGGTCTTGCGCCTTCTCAGATTTCCCAACCCTGGGCACCCAATCGGCAAGCACCCCTGGAGGGATTTATTGTCCTCTCCATACTTGTCATGGTGAAGCGGCCAGGACAGAGGTTCCCACACACACACATTGTGTGTGTCCTCTAAGGAGGGGCACTGTTTGTCCTTGGACGGACGGGGGACAGGTCCACCACGGGCCTTGACCCTGGAGAGGAGCTTTTCACAGAGCCAGTGAGGCCCCAGTGCCATGGCCCCCATGAGCACAGTGACGTGGACACAGATGCCCAGGAGACTGCACCCAGGGTGCCCTGTGGCAAGTTCTCTGTCCTATCTGCACTTCAGGATGCACAGGACCAGCGAGGGCTGTCTTTGCTGGGTGATCAATTAATTCTCCTCCACAAGCTGACTGCCAAGGACGCCATCTCCACGCCGTCTCCAGAGTTCTCAGATGATCACAGGTATCATTGTCGTCCCTCAGCTGTGTAGATCCCTTATTCACTTAAAACCCTTTCCCCAGGCCAGGGGTGTAGCTCAGTGATAGAGCCCTTGCCTAGCGCACAAGAGGCCCTGGGTTCAATCCCTAGTGTCAAAAAATAAATAAAAATAAAATCCATCTTTCTTTTCATGATGTCAGAAAGAAAAATCTCAACTGGGCACCTTGGGGGTCTGTGCAGGTTTCATTTTTGTATCATTCCTGAGAGTGGTCATCATCGGCAAAATCAGTAAGCAGCCGTACTTGTTCTAAATGCCTCCCATCAACCCTCAGCCCTCTCCGCTGTGGAAGTGGGGAACTGGAGGAATAGGAGCAGTGGGAACAAAAACCTTAGGAAATGGGTACCACGAGCCAGGCCCTGCACCAAGCACCTGGGGGACCTCACACAACGCCCCCAGCAGCCCTGAAGTACCAACTGCCATCCCTGCCATGTTACAGGTGCAGAAACTGAGGACTGGAAGAGAGGGGATGTGTCAGCCCACCCAGCTGACAAGGGGCATGTGTCCACTGGTGATATCGAGATAAAAGCTGGATCAAGAGAAAAGTGGATAGATTTGGGGTCCATGGAACCTCCATCCAGGGTCAGATGG